GTTATAATATGCCAAATAATGTATTCCCCCGAATCACTTATTATGCTGAGAAATATAACTTGACAGGTAGATACGTGAAATATTGATCGAAAAATTTATTGCAGAATTATATAGCATTTCTTTGTATTTCATTCAAATGAGGTTCACTATCAATATGTTCGATTATTATTGAATGAAATATACAAATCTTATCATGCATATTGGTGATCATCGAAATTACTTTCTCTTTATGTCACAGTTATTCGCTTTTATTTTGTCATAATTATGAGAATTTGTGAAAGCTTGCAGTTTTCATCCTGAAATCAATTTCTACGACTGACTAATTTCATTCAATGCAATATTCGTACATTCAATTGAAAATATTATACAGGTATTTCTCTCTGATTTAAATTTATGTTGGAAATACAAAGATAAAAATGTTTGGAAGATTAAATATTGTTTATGGCTGAATAGATGATGCCGCTTCAGGAAAGCTATGCATCCTGAATATAGACTTTCATATCGTTTATTATCCCAAGTCTGATTCTCGAGTGAATAGAATCGGCAATGAGAGCGGCTAGCGAAGTAATGGTGCATGGACGCCAATATTTGTGAAATGTAAATGCGAAAAATTCACTGCTGCATGAGCACTACTCCATTCAAATTATTCCTCAACGGTTACTTGACGAAGGAACATTTTTTCACGTCTTATTTTTAATCAGATTCCCGCTTTGTCATGGTATTCATAACTTCTTGCTGTTTAATGAATAAACAAGTCGAATTATGTATATACTGCGAATTGTCGAAACGCGGAAGCGATGGTTTCTCATGAAATATTCAGTGAACTTCGCTAACTAGTGGAAATATATAATGGATGCATTGAGAGGACTGATTCAAAAATTGTTAACGTTAGGATGTTGAAAATATAGATCTTGAAAAATTATATAGCTATCTTCAAGGCCAGCCAATTGTCTGAAAATAGAATGAAGAAACATAATCGTGACTATCTTTAATTCATCGTCCGTTTTTATTTTTGCTTTCAACTTGGAAATTAGAATTATATCAAATTTCATAAGATAATATTTTTTCAAATTGAACAGGAAAACGGCCATATTTCTTCTACTTCTCCTAGCTTCATCAACTTCTTATTCATCTGAAAAATATTCATTAACATTTTTTATGTTTTAATACTTTCGATTTGTTATCATTCTGCCAAAATTTTTCAGAAATGATTCCAAATAAAAAACTCAGAGAACTAGAAGTCATTGGCATCGCTTTAATTCTTCTAAGTTTTGAGAAATCTTTGAGAACAAACTTTGAGTTTCAACAATTCTCCAAATATCCAAAACTGAAAAATATTTATTTACTTTCAACGTATACAGAACAAATATGTTTATAAATCATGATTTTAGTTGTATATACGGGGTTCTTTATAATTTTATGTTCATCAATATATCCATTCAAAACACATTATTCAAATATGCTGGTAATTGCAGCTGAGAAATATTCTTGTTCTTATTTTGCCACAGAAAGGAAACTTTTTCCTACTTTAGGACAGAAGTCGATATGTGGAAAAAGTTTACGGAAAACCCTTTTTCTTCCTATCCCAAGACAGACAAAAGGGCAAGCGTTTCGAATAAAACCGCCCCTAGATGTGAAATTGAACAAATATATCATCCTAAGCGTTCGGAAAAACACCGTTACGCGGGTTCCATCCATCGTTCGTAATAAGAGTCAGCGTTTTGGATGTGGACGCGTTCTGAAATCGGATTGGTCGTTGAGATGAAAAGAGATGATGGTTAAGATGACAACACATAAAGGCAAACACTTTCCGAATCGATGTATATATGCATACAATGGTGGGCATTCAACTGTGCCAACAACAAACATGAATTTGTTTTCAACATATACAATGTTATGTCTCCATTATCTATTGATAAATAACTGTTCGAGAATGTTGAAAAACATTCAGTTACAGATGTTGAAAAGGCTCACTTATAAGGATAGTTGCACTTTCGCACTACAAGGTACTCATCAGTTGCACCACCACACCTATATATATATATATATATATATATATATATATATATATATATATATATATATATATATATATATATATATATATAAGAAAATGAACACTAGAACATTCATTTGAAAAATTGAAATTAATCAAGAGAATGTTATAGTAGAGCTAAATATGTGAACGTGTAGGATGTGATGTCTCCATTATCCTTCAAGGGATAAATGTTAGAGAAATATTGAAATCGATGCCACACCTGATAGTAGTGCGAGACATATATGTTTCGTTCTGCAAGGAACTCGTCAGTCGCACCACGTCCATCGAAGTGAGGCAACGATTTCAACCTCCAAGCATCTTCTTGTGACTTCAAGTGGAAAGTCGTAGAGTAATGAATACTCTATAATTCCATCTATAGAAATCAGTAGAAATCACCTACCTCAGATAACAGACACACCAAGCATCGAAATTTCATATATCTTCTATACCCGTAGGTATCTACTAAATTGCAATGTCTATTTGACAAATATCATCGAACGATGTTCTTAAATGTCAATAGGTTGCATTTAAACACAATTTAAAAACATCGTGTGATGATATTTGTCAAATAGACATTGCAATTTAGTAAATACCTACGGGTATAGAAGATATGTGAAATTTCGATGCTTGGTGTGTCTGTAATCTGACATAGGTGATTTCTACTTATTTCAATAGATGGAATTATAGAGTATTCATTACTCTACGACCTTCCGCTTGAAGTCACAAGAAGATGCTTGGAGGTTGAAATCGTTGCCTCACTTCGATGGACGTGGTCTCGCACTTCCATCATAAGTGTGGCATCGATTTCAATATTTCTCTAACATTTATCCCTTGAAGGAGTATGGAGACATCACATCGTACACGTTCACATATCTAGCTCTGCTATAACATTCTCTTGATTAATTTCAATTTTTCAAATGAATGTTCTAGTTCTAGTTCATTCAGTGCCATAAGCACAAAAAATTTCATTTATATATATATATATATATATATATATATATATATATATATATATATATATATATATATATATATACAAACGAAATTTAATGTCTTCTGATTCATAGGAGGAGTTTTGAGAAATTGAGTCGATGCTTTGCGTTTGTCCGACGGTGACGCAACTGATGAGTACCTTCTAGCATGAAACAGTGAAAACTATATTGCGGTTTCAACAAATGAACGTACATTTTTCAATATTTTCTGACAATTATCCCTTGAAGAATAATCCGTCGAAACATTACCGAAAGAAATATATAGTATACTATTAATATTGAATATTCACAAGTGCGATGATATGAGCACGATAACTATATAAATTCATTTTTCTGTATTCATATATTATATTTTTCATATATATATATATATATATATATATATATATATATATATATATATATATATATATATATATATATATATATATATATATATATAAGGTGAAGCAATCATTATTCGCGCTAACCACGCACGTACGGAACATACTGTAAATGTATTTGTTTATATTGAAAATTAACCTATATATGCCTAAAACTTTCTGTTTGAACGTTTTCGAGACTTTTGGGTGGGAAATTAATGAAAAACAGTCATATACAAAATATTTATCATTTATTTTTGAAAACGTCAATCGAAAAAATTTTTGTAGACCTATTCTACATAAAGGACAATAGTCTTTATGTAGGATAAATTAAGAGATATTAAGAATAGCATACTATTCTTAATATTGAGTATGATAATTTACAAAGCATTTAACATGTGAACCAATGTCACATTTTTTGCACCTGGTTGTTGTTTTTGAATGACATAAGCCGCATCTAGTTTGTTTCTCCTGTGGTACCACCAAATGGTTAAGACGGTCATAACTCATTTCATTATTTTGTTGATTTTTTCCTCTTCGGAAAGCAAAGAATTTTTTTTTTGTGTCGAAATGATAGTGGCTTCACTTCTACTAAAGGCAAGTTGGTCCATTTAACCTTCTCGATATTTGTGAAGATGCCAAGCATTTGTCATTGCCATATCAAGACTAGAATATCTATTTAGAAGCAAAATACCCAAAAAACATTTCATTTCCAAAACATCAACTACTGGTATTATATTTTTTGTTGAGCATACCTATTAGCATCTTCTGTGAACATTGACAAGGTTTCATCGTCAAAAAACATTAGAAGAGTTCAGTTGGTGTAAAAAAATTTGTAAATGTGTTTTCTTCGGAAAAAACATATTCATCAGCTAGCAGATCCTGTTGGACAAACTAGTAGACCTTTTTTTTCTTAGTTTTCAGATTATCTTTTGGTTTTTCTTCATTTTGTAGAGTACTCAAAGGTAATTCATCTTCAGAACTACAGTCTTCCTCGTTTACACGAATGTTAACTTCTACTTGATTTTGTATCATACTTGAAGGAAAATTATTCATGTCGAGTTGGTCCTCATCACCAGAATCTTCATCGGTGATGTTTTCACAAGCATTATTTGATGGTAGCAACATAATTGATTTCGTACTGACGTTATCTTCCTCAATGCTTCGTACAATAAAAAACCCCTGAAACAAAAACTCATAGTAGCCCATTGTCCTATATGAGGAACGCCAACATTTAACACCTTGTGTATATCACCATAAGAAAAAAAAAATTTCAAAATTAACGAAAAATTAATGCAACAGTTATTTCAGAATAGGTACATCTATATCAGAAAAGATTGAATGGAAACATTTATTGTAAAATATTCGTACTCACCTTGCAAACTTGATTCCTCATTCCGCCATTTTTCAGAATTGCTTGTATTCAAACGTGGTTTACTATTCGCTAATTCACAATTTGCCTTTCAAACTCTGTTTACCCAACAACACCTATTCAGAGACTAAGCTTCGACTGGCATATGCAACGAAGGCAGCGCTAGTCTAGACAGGAATCGACAAGTTTTGAGCGTCCTACATATAGGTCAGTAGGCACATATGGGTTGAAAAAGAGACCTCGTTAGCTAAGTTGTCAGAGCAGCAGGGCGTAAACCTGAAAGACCTGCGTTCGAATCCCAGTCGAGGTCGAAAACTTTTAGGTATAATTTCGATTGTCAATTTACAATTTAAAAAAACCTTATATATAAAGTTTATATATATATATATATATATATATATATATATATATATATATATATATATATATATATATATATATATATATATATATATATATATATATATATATATATATATATATATATATATATATATATATATATATATATATATATATACTAGCAGACCCGGCGAACTCCGTTTCGCCACCAGATGGCTTCGTTTTATGTAACATTTCGTTTGGTGATTAAAAGTTTTATATTTGAAAAGGAAAAATTTTATTTCGTTTCTCAACAGTAATGAATTCATTTCGATTACAAAAATGAAGTGTTATTTAGTTGAACGTCTCTAAGTAAATGTAAGTGAATCAAAAGTAAATACTGAATTATATCCGTGTCCGCAAATTATCCGTTTCATTGAAGTAACCACATTTTTTGTTTTTTGGTCTGACGTTAACACAAACAAAGCGGATGGTTTCCCAACTCGTGAACACGCAACGTATAACTGCCCATGTGAAAAACAATGATTTTCTAAATTTATCCCGCAAACACTAAGCGATTGGCCTTGCGACTTGTTCATTGTCATTGCGAACGCAAGGCGACCTGGAAATTGCAATCGTTTGAAGTCAAACGGAAGATCAGTCGGAATCATTGGTATTCGAGGAATACATACATTTTCACTTGCGTACTTTCCGTTAATAATGGTTGCCTCAATCAAATTCGGCATGTCTTTTAACCGAAAGTCGAGTACCGTTGCAAAGTCGCGGTGGATTCAAATTACGCAATATCATAATAACTGTACCATCTTTGAGTTGCAAGTTATGTGCTGGAAATCCTGGTAACTCCAGAGAGTTCAAAAACTCCGATGGATAATTTACTACATCATCGGGATTTGTTATGGAATCAACGGATTTGTATGTCACCAAATCGCCTGCAATTTTTGATTGAATGGTGAAATTCAGTGCGTGTATATCATTATTCTTTGCTGCAAGAATTGTTCGTTGACTTAACTAAGCATAATTCTGATAATTCTCACTAATGTTTGGAAAACATCTTCAATAAAAGCTAATTGAGAGTCTACAAATCGGCAAAAGTTGTTGGTAAGAGTAATTTATCCAGATGTCGCATCAACTGGGACTTTTCAATTTCCAACAGCTAATAATTGTTTGGAAAATTGTGCAGCACTTTGATCATTTTGAAGTTGAATTCTCATATTAGTGGTTAGCGATAATGTTTTTACGTTATTCCATAATAACGGTAACATATAAAGGTGATGCCATCAGGCAAGCATTCAATTCATCTGCAGGCGTTCCACGGGGAATTACTGGCAACGTCTGCCTGAAATCGCCTGCCAACAATATCATCAAGCCGCCAAAGAAATAAACAGCTATAAAAAATAAGGGTTGATCGTAGAAGGGTGAAAATTTAGTATTGTATGTATTTTTGTATGTTGTATCATAAAAAAATTAAAACTGAAAATTTTGTCTAAAAAATAAAAAACAAAATTCAGGGGTGGACTACCCCTAACATTTAGGGGGATGAAAAATAGATGTTGGCCGATTCTCAGACCTACTCAATACGCTCACAAAATTTTATGAGAATCGCTCAAGCCGTTTCGGAGGAGTATGGAAACGAAAACTGTGACACGAGAATTTTATATATATATATATATATATATATATATATATATATATATATATATATATATATATATATATATATAAATATATATATATATATATATTTATATATAAATATATATATATATATATATATTTATATAAATATATATATATGAATATATTTATATAATAATATATATATTTATATATATTTAAATATATATATAAATATATTTATATATATATATATATATATATATATATAAATGCTACACAATTCGTGGATCTCGAAACTATATATGTATATGAGATTGAAATCTCGCTTACGTCTCAAATTGAAGTCTTGGCTTCATGGCCACGATTGAATTTAATCATCATTAAATAATCATGTTCATGAGTCAACATATTTCGAGCCGTTAGCACATTATCAAGACTAACTACAAAAATAGAACATAGCAAATTTACATCTATAAAAAAGAAGTGATAAAAGTGGGAGTCCGGTGCATCATAGTCGGGGTGTTCTCCCGACCCAGCCACAGAGGCCGGATAATATTTAGTCTTCATAATGTGCTGAGCGCTGATTTTCACTGAATAATACTGAATTATATTAAGTACTCGCCGATTTTCTCCTGGTTTTTATCATTTCCAAAAGTTAAACTCCCAACTTTCAATTCAACATAAATTTCAATTTTAACTTGAATAGATGATTGAACAAGCAGGGTATAATAATAAAAATAATAGGTTTTTTATTTTCAACAGGTACAATACCTACCCAATTACAGAAAATATTGATATAATGTTTAATTATGTATGATTAATGATAAATAAATAAATAAATTGATAGGGGTATAACAAAGAGCTCAATCTAAATTCAAAATCTAAAATGGTAACTAATATCTGAATAATAGCATTTAATGAAATATTAAGAAAAACTCAATCTAAACCAATCCATTTTAGTTAATTTGCTTTGGTCACATATGTCCTAATTATAACTCCTATGGAGTCAAAATGAATGTCACAATTATTGGCAACTCTATTGAATGTAGATTCCATAAACCAAATGGGCGATTGTATTAGGGAGATGGTTCTTGAAGTCTCTAGGTGGAATAATTCTGTAGTACGAGAATGTCGCCTAGGGATATGAAATTTCAAAATGGACAGGAGACAATAAATACTGTTGTGACCTCTATTCAAACTAAGAATTTCAAGAACATTCTCTGATTGGTCTCAATATGACGTTGATGGAAAGTGTGAATGGGATGCTTGATCTTGCTGCCATACTCGGACTAACTAAGGATTTGGGCATTAAATAGTCCAATGAATGTTGAGAAATTATTGAAATATTTGCCATTGCGTATAACAAATCCATATATTTCCGAGGCAGATTAAAAAAGTTGGGTGATGTGTGGAATGAAGGAAAGCAAAGACTACACCAAGATCTCTCACCTCATTAGAACGAGAAAGAACCGGACCACCGACGCTAGAATTACACTCAATTCGATATTTCCTGCTATAAAAGAGACAACATTACATTTTAACACATTCAAACTCAAATAATTATCCTCACACCAAGTAGCAACATGGTGCAGCGCGAGCTCAAGCTGAGCACAGTTCTCCTGTGGTCTAATTTCATGATATACTTTCAAACTATCCGCGAACATTAAATTCGGGGAGTGAATATTATCCATCATATCATTTGCGAATAGAATAAAAAACAGTGGTCCAAGATTAGACCCTTGAGGTATTCCAGAGGTAGCGACGAACTCAGTCGACTGTATACACTCCAGCTGTACGAATTGACATCGGTATGAATACTGTCAGATATATCATCCTGTGAGCTTCGTGTCATCGAAGTATTTTCGAGAGTTTGAATATTTCATTTACTCGATTCCATATTTTTGAACATGTTTGTATGTCTATCTAAATATAACTTCACCGTCTGTGACACTCATGAGCTGTTTTATGATCAAAATAAATAGCGATCCGTCATTCTTTCATTTATTATGTTCAAAGCCCGGTAATCGTTAAAAAAGATATGTGTTAGTCAGCATAAACCTTCGTATATCATTTCGACAACTCCCTACATTAAAATGGAAAAGCACATGTTATTTTATTCATGATATCATTTCCATACGTTTCCAATTTCGTATTTCGACGAATCGAAGGAAAAATAATAACTTGAGTTATACATGCTACCATGAAATATTTTCGTTTACCTCCGAATAGAATAAAATGCATATTTATGCCACTTTCGAGAGGAAATAAATCGATAAAAATTCTAGATTATAGAAATGGGATATTCCATGCAAATAATCCCTTTATTCCCTTGAATTCTCAGTTTGATTCGCGATTTCAACTTTGAGTGAAATATTTCATTCAATTATAATGTGATCACTTTCTTTATAACCATCGGACCTACAGTTGAATGACGTTTACGAACGGCCAATGGGCTTGTGGCCAATGTACAGTACCCATCATTATTATCATCATTAAACTACTTGAATCATAGACACACACATACACCCATGCCTTCACAGGGGCTCGAACCCGAGTAATAATGAGAAAAAAGAAAGTGTTTATATTTTGAAATGAATCAATTTTCCCTTTACACTCAAAGAATCCGAAGCCAATCAATAACATACGTGAATGACATATTTCCGAAGAATTGAAATTAACAGACTTGGTTTAAGTTCCACTAAATATATTAAAACCTCTACATATCTTTCGGGTGGTCAACCAATTATCAAGGGTATACAATATTACTGTAATATTGTATACTCTTGATAATGGATTAACCACTCGAAGCATATATAGAGTTTTTAATATATTGAATGATACTTAAGCCAAGTGTGTATGTTTTAATTCATTATTTCAACATAATGTATCAGCAAGATATAAGCGAAAGCTACGTGCGATTTATTTGCATTTTCAATTCAATATAGTTTATGAGACTAATAGTTCAAGGAACCATAAAATGCATAGTTACGTTGCTAAGGTTTAATTAAGGCAATTCAAATCTTGAATCAGGAGTTCATTGAATCAGACATGACGTATCTGAACATAATTGAAATAATTTAATTGCATTTGAAGTATAAGTTTGCAGTGATTCCATAGAAATTATGACATTTCTATAAAAATATGGAATAACATGATTAATTTCAAAGAACCGAACGAAAAGGAATCGTGTTTTCTCGAATACTTATAGCGAAGTAGTTATTCGAATTTGCAGTACCTATATTGTTCGAATCGAAAAGATGAGGAAACAATTACGGTTCAAAAAAATTTATCACTGCATAGTTGAAGTACAAGCTAATTTATGCTTGCGTGAGTATTTCAATAAAGAATATTC